ACACATGCTGTGTGCCTAGCCCAGAGCTAGGCACACACCAGACTCTCATTAAATAGTGTCTGCTGAATGAAGGGGCAAAGTGGAAATCTTTGCTGGTGTTCCAGCAATTATGGTGGAGTAGCCAGCAATTATAACAAGGACACACAACCAATGGAAGCTGTTGTCCTGTTGCCACTGAAGTGCTAGACCTTGGAGTCATCCTGGGTATAAAACCACAATTGGAAATGCAGTTAGGGCTGCACTGACTTCATTACACTCAGTATAATGGTTGCCAGGTCTCCACATAAAATCTCCCTCCTCCCAAAACCAGTGTCGATTTTGTTTAAGCATGAGCCAGGGAAGACAGATTAGAGGATTTTCATATATGTCACAGCGATATTTGAAAGAGACATTTCAGATCTGTGAGAATTAGCGTTGCATTTTTAAAGAATAAATGCAATTGAACTAATTCAAATGCTTGTATTTCCATCTCTTACTATGATGTTAACTGTCTCAGAGACGGAGATATCACAGGAACCTGTCATTGTCATGATATTTAAAAAAAGGAACCCCATTTCTAGTTACCATCCATGGGGTCTCACTATTCATCAGATAGTTACGGGGGATATTTCCTCCTCTTTGGTCTCACTTGGTGCGTTCTGAGGACTCCCCTTTCCTGAATGAAGTCCTGGAAAGGAATCTGGAGACATGAAGCTTGTATATGCCCCAAGTCTTGATGTAACTGAATAAAATTCTCTCTGTGTATACGATATCTCACATCTAAAAGGAAATACTGGACTGCCCATCTTTAAGTACTTATGTTTCATATTGTGCCAATGGTTCCAGACTACTGCTATTAAAGTTTCCTTGCTGGCTGCAGAGGAAAGTCTGATATAGTCTATTCCACAGTCTTTGGTGATCGAAGAGACGATCAAAGGATCAAAGGGTTTCCATTGTCTAGGTTTAAACTAGCCTGTCATTAATTCTGACAAGATTATTTGTCACTGGAAATCACCTGTAGGCTTGGTGATGCATAATAATGAAAAATTATCCGATGCCCCCAGGGTGGATGCAAATGATAGGCAGTGTCTTCACCAGTGGCCCAGAGAGCATCATTTTGAGGATGCTTTTGCTCCGCCCTCTCAGACCCCACATCAGCTATGCTAAATCAGGATTTTCTAGTTTAGGGCTTGGGTCCACATATCTTGGTAAAGCTTTCCAGCTAATTCCAATGCATTTTGAGCTGCCACCCACCCTTAGAAACAGTGATTTAAATACTGCATATCTATTAAGTGGAGAGAACGGTGTGACACAAATCAGTGAGATAGCCTGGCCTCTGATAACGAACCATGTCGGGAAGCTGGCGGCAACCTAGTTTTGCCTACATAGTTGTTTGCTATTTAAAAATTTAAACAGGTCAAGGGCTTGATGCAGCTAGATTTATCTAAGGCTTACTGGATGTTCCCTGTGGCTATGGTTGGTAGCATTATAATTTGGGTGGTGAGTAGATTTGCAATTTTTATATTAAATTTGGAAAGCTGTTTATAGAACTGTTTCAAAGGCATTCCAGTGATGGATGGCATATAGCTGTCCTAGACAAACACAAGGCCACTGGCCAGTTTCTTTTCTTCATCTTTTCTGGTGCTGCTTTGGGGAAATTACTTGGAAAATAAAGAAGATGAGAAATGGTTCTATCAGCACGATCTGAAGGTCTCATATACAAATTAAATAAACTCTTGCCTAACCGTTTCCTTCAGTCTCACTGGTATTTACTGGGCACCCAGACATGCCAGATGGGAGAGAGGAGAGTTGCTCTCACACAGCCATCTTTCATGTTTCACTGGAAGGCTTTGAAAATATTCTCCCCTCAGTTCTGCAGGTAAAAGCCCCCTAGGGATGGGCTGATGGAGGCTGATCCTAATGACACCATAACTAAGTTAAGATACAGATAGGCAAGATGGCCTGCTCCACTAATGTATGCTCTCACCACACAGATACATTGTAAGCTCCCTTAGTATTTATTTTGTTTGTATATTTGAATACATAAAATATCCCATTTCCATGGTTCATCCTTTTGACTGTAAGCGCCAACACAACAAACCTGCTTCAGAATCACTCTCAGCCATGATTACAAAAGGGTCCTCAAGGATGGATTCACTGCTTTCACTGTGACATTTGTTCCAGAGAGGGAAGGAGCCTATAGGCTCTGGCTCTTCGGGGAGAACTGCTTGTTAAAATTACCAAAGCAAAGTCCTCTAAAAGCCACACAGAGGCTGGCATTGCTGAACCTCTCAAGAACCCTCTGATCTTCCAGCCCCATGTCCTCCTGCTTTACTAAATATATCAGAGCCTACTGGACACTCACTCAAAAGAGGAGGAGGAGAAGATAACTCTAGGTCTTCACTATGCATTCTGGCAGTTGAAGGGAATGTGGTCTTAGAAGTGTTTATTTTCAGCTTCTTAAAGAGCCATGTTTTGGCTTGGTGGACTCTATGATGTGGACTTCATGGACACTAAACATGAATAGTAACTCTGCCTCTTCCATCGAGAGAAGAGGACACTTAGTGGGACTTTGTTCCTGAGCGCCTACCTTACTGGTATTTAAAAGGATTAACACTGATTTTAACAGAGTAAAACAATAGTTTCTGTATAGATAAAGAGTAGTGTGGAAACAATTTGCTTGAGAAAATTTCAGACATGCTCTCTAGCAGATGCTGTATACTGCTTCACAGTGCTTTCAATAACATACTTTATCTGAGTCTCTCAAAATGTTTACAAACTAGCTGTGGAATTGTCATTTTATAGATGTGGAATTTGAAAACACAGGGTTTAATATGATTAAGATTCCATACAAAGTCAATGAAGGAAAATGGGGAGGGGGGGGGAATAGAGGATTGATTATTTTGCACAATATATGTCAGTATACCAAGAAGAAGACAAATTAATTCAAAACTAAAGGTAAACCTATTTAAAATTCAGAAGAAACTGCTAAAAATAAGGGCAATCATAACTGATGAATACCTAACAAACAGATTACTGATCTCAGTTGCCAATAAATGCTTAGCTAGTAAGCTATGTGAAGTCAGGCTATACAGAAGAGAAATTAACACTACAGAAAAAATATATAACTGATATTCAACTTGATATATAAACTTCACCTTGAAAATGTTAAGTGGTCACTGTTATTGTCTCACTGAAATAAGATTTATCTAGATCTAGAGTTAGATGCTACTGCAATTTTAGATATTTCCCCCTCATTGTTATTTTTATATTATTGCTTGTTTAGGAATAAAAAAAATAGAGTAAAACTTCCTGGGATTCTATACTAGCTTCTGCTCACCAGCTGTGTGAAATGAGACAAGTCTGTCCCCATGTGAATTTAAGATAAATGAGAAGGCACTTTTGCTCTTGTCCACTTCTGTATTACTAGGACCTAAAAAATAGGTCCCATAGAATGGCACTGAAAACTGATATAACATACATCACTAATTTAGAACATATGTATAGTGTGTGCATGTGTGTGCATTTACTCCTGGTAAACTTTTTGGCCTTTTGTTTTAAGCAAATTATTTCTTTCCATTGATTAGTTTGGAAACTTTTGATGTTGATATGACTATTTGTACACTATTAAAGTACTGGGGTAGTAGCTTATAACCAAGTAGTTAAGGAACTGCAAAACTCACTTTAAAAACAAGTTGATCTGTACATTTAATATGTACACAATACTCTCACTTTTTATTGTCAATATAAACTTGGGACATGAAGAGAAAATTGCAGAAATAAACTTAACAACATGACTTTGAAGCAGTTACTTCTGGAACTAAAGCCTCTTGAAAACACAACTATAATTCATGGCTTGTATTCTTCAATATTAAGTTTAAATTAAATTTTAAATTTTTGTAAACTATAATTGTATTCTTCAATATTAAGTTTTAAATTAAATTTTAAAAATGTGTATTGACTTTAGAGTGAGGAAAAGAGAGAAACAGCAATGAGAAACATCAATCTGCACACCCCGTACTGGGATGGAACCTGAAACCTGAGCATGTGCCCTGACTGGGAATCCAACCAGCAACCTTTTAGTGAAGGAGAAGTCACTTCACCAACTGAGCCACATTGGCTAGGCATTTCTTCAATTTTAAATAAAATACTATTATGATAGCTCAACAACAGAATTCAGATATGGCTTAAACTTACCGGGACTCAATATTTTATACACATCAAGGAATCACTTTACTTACAAAAAGTAGTCCTCTTTATATAGTGTATTATATAAGAAAGAGTGGAAGACATGGAAAAGATAAGGAAATACTTAGGGAAAACAGACTAATTAGGCAGTGTCTGTTGATTGATTTGCAGTCATTTTAACTCCAAATTACCAAAGAGCTATGCTTATAAGTTTTCTTTAGTTGAAGTAAAATAATAATAATACATTAATTTAAAAGATATGCACTAATTTTAAGATTTTTTTTGTTTAAAAGTATTTTGAAAACTAATCTTTGTTAAAAAAAAAAAATCACTAATGTATCACACTGAATAGCTGGTCTTACGCATGCCATATTTACCATTTATCTCCCTTCCCTGTCTGATGGCAAATTAACTGTTATGACTTTACTTCTCATTAAGAAGTCTAAGCATTAATATAGCCTTTTTTAAGAGGGGAATAAGGGGTAAATCTATACCAATGAATTTATTATTATTTCAGTTTAATAGGTGTCACTCACAGTTGAGAAGTTATAAACTAATTAAAATATTTATTTTAAATTTGTGAAAAAATTCCTTTACTGTCACTTTACTATCACTTTCAAAATCTTATATTCAGAAAATGTTTATACTGTATAAAATAGAAATGAAACAAAGGAGAAAAAGTAAAAAGATATATTGACAGATGAGTAATTGAAATAAAACCTGATGACACTTATGAGCTAATGTCTAAAGGCGGAGTGCATTGACAATGCAATCAACTCATTCGCTCTATAAAACCAATGTTCTTAATTGGAGACAGTTATTTCACACCTTACCTCTGCATACTTTAACTTCAATGTTTTATGCATTTCTCGGAAACGACTATAACGTCTGAATACAGTCCATGTCTCATCAAGGACAGTAATCTATTAACCACAAAAATAAAAATAAATCAGCATTAATTAGAGGGAAAAGTCACTAAAAGTTGTTTCAAATAATTAAAAAATTAACTAACAGTGATTAGAATGTCAAATTTCTCCAGAATTGAAAACATTAATCTAACTGCATAAATAAGACATAATATTAATAGTATCTGCTCTCTACTTAAGCATTCATCTCTGGTTCCCAAATCTGGTTAGAAGCAGCATGTGACTATGTAAAGTGAGGGACAGTTAACTTATGAAAAGTATCCCCTAACCCTCCTCTTGGGTTATAGAAAGAAAACCCCATGGGTAACCTTTCTCTCCTGTAACCAGCCCATACAAAATGTTGCTGTAGGTCACCAGCCACCATAGTGGACAGCAAGGGGGGAAAGTGAGAGAAGAAAAAGCAGGAGGGGGGGAAAGGAAGAGGAAGAGGAAGGAGAAAGAGAAGAGTACAAAGAGGAGAAAAAAATCTTTCTGCCTCTTATTGATTGTTAATATAAAAACTCAACTATATATTGTGCTTTATCTCAGAAGAAGAATTCTCAGCCTGGCCTTTGTCCCACAGTTCCTGTTGATAAGCTGAGTAGGTGGAACTCTGGTGCACATCAGCCCACATCCTGAGGTCATGGAGACAAGCAGAAGCTGGTAGGCACTGCCAGCCTTGGGAATCACACAGCCTAAATAAAGCACAGGCTAATGGGTCTCAAATTCCTATCTCAATTCTCACCTTTCTTCTGAGCTGCAGACCCACTATACATCTTTCTTTAGATGTCACACAGGACCCTCAAGTTCAAAGTGTCTAAAATCAAACCTGACAGTCTTGCTGGAGAATATCTAGAACACACCATCTCACTGTATTTCACTACTTACCACTAAGCCAGACAGACGCTGAAGCCATCCCCATCCCCTCTTGCCCACATGCATGCCCACAGTAGAACAAACATCCCTCCTTCAACATCACTGCCAATTCAGTATATAACTGATACTACTTATATAAATATCTCCCCATCCTACATGATTTTAAGCCTTTTAAGTGAATGAACCTTTGATACTAATTAAGGTGGAGGTGAGAGGACTCACGGTATAGAGACAGACATTTACTGAGCAACCACTATGTGCTGGACACTACACTACATGTCAGTAATTTGCTGAGTGACAGTCAAGATGATTTTGATTTTCACATCAGGTAAAGGTTCCAGGTTTGGCCCAGGTCACTCAGAGTGGAGCACAAGGCCTGCTGCAATCTTTCTAGGAGGTTCACCTGAATCAGATTATTTGAATTAATGGCACGATAGTATGATTTTTTAAAAACTGCACTAAGAATATGGTACATTTTCAATGTTATTTGTAACACAAGTCTACAGATTTCCAACATTTCCACTCATGAGATTTTCACCTGAGTTCAGCTTAAATACAAGGATGACAAAGGGTCATACTCCCTACTTTATAAAGAGAACATTTCAATCCCCCTCCACTTGTCTATCAATATGTAAATTTATGAAGACAATGATGATAAAGAATGAAGATCATCAGTGGTCATGGCAGAAATGGGGGGAGGGGAGATAAGACAATCACAGGTATCATCTCTCCACGGGACATGTTCAAAGCTCTTGTCCATAATAGAGACACCTTCACACCTAGAGCTGGAGAAATGGTGCATATGGGGTTTGAAAAAACTATACATAAAAGAAAACTATATATTGAAGTCCTATTTTGCTCCAAATTAAAGCTGGGCATAGTATGTGGGCATAGTATGCAGAGAGCAGAGACAGAAGATCAGTATGACAAATAAATCAGATCAAAGCACTTAATTATTTTCTTCGATATTGAGACTGTAGGGCATCATTACTACATATCACTGCAGAGCAAATTCATTACTTCTCTCTCGCTGAATGGTTCTGCTGATACAAATCCATCTTTTCTAGGCCATAAAATGATCAAGTACAACTTAAATACCATAAACATAGCCATAAGATGAATTGCATTTACTTATAAACAATTCTACATTGAGTGCTGTTCACAAATTTATGTTACACACATATTTTACTGGTTTAAGGATTGTCAATTTTAAGATGTCCTCATTATATATCTGCAGTGTATATCTGTGTAAGGAGAAAATAAAAGTTTTTATACTAAGAACTTGTATAAAACAGTTACTTAAAGAGTTTCTTTTAACAATGTTTATTTAAAAAAATTTTTTTTAATCCTCACCAGAGGATATCTTTTAATTGAGGTTTTAGAGAGAGAAGGAGAGAGAAACTGATCAGTTGCCTCCCATACATGCCCAGACTGGTGACCTGACCAGGTATTGAACCCGCAACCTCTTGCTGTATAGGATGATGCTCCAACCAACTAAGCCACCCAACCAGGGCAACATTCAAATGGGCTAAATTTTCTTGTATTCAGCAAGTTTGGAGGAAGTGGTCTAGTATCAACCTAGTATATAATAAAGTTTTTCAAAGTTTTGCAAAATATAATATTATAAGCAACATAACTCTGAACATATTTGAGAATATATGAAATATTTTCCAAATGTTTAAATCTGTCTAGTATCTTTCATTAATGCATTATACTTACTTAAAATTTCTTCAGACAACTGTTGCAAAGAGAACTACACCAGAAGTAGTAAAAGAAGCCAACATCCTTCTAATCACAATGATCCCACAGATACCACAGACTGCCATTCAATTACTCCTGGTCAATCTCTGAAATCACCAAATCTTTCTGGGGACAAACAACACTGGTAATTTAGAAGATACGAAGACACACACACACACACACACACACACACACACACAGGTAATTTAGAAGACCCACACACATATACCACACACTGGTAATTTAGAAGATATACACACACACACACACACACACACACACACACACACACTAAACAAATAATGGAGACAATGGGGCCTAGATTTCTCTTTTCAATAAATATTTTTCTATTTCACTCTCCAATTTGTTTTCTATCCTGAAATGTGGTCAATAGAGTGACCTGTATTTTAGTCCTTCCCTGACTTACCAGTAACTGTTTAAAGTTTTTAAAATGTAGACATTAAGGGAGAGGTTAAAGCATTGTAAAACAAAGAAAGAAAAAAATGTCATTTACCCAATTTCTTTTCGGTTGATTGAGAAGAAATGCTGTGTTAAATGTTATAGGTTGTAAGACTCCTTAAAATCATAGCCAGAAACAAAAGGTGGCCTCTAAATTGCCTTTAGTAGGAGCCCCTATTAAGATCCTTTTGTTTTTAAGTGTTTTTTCAACTAATTAATTTTAAATAATTGTTGAACTACAATATATTAGTTTCATAGTGATTTGACATTATGAATTTAACCTTATGAATTGATCACCATATTAAGTCTAGTAACCATCCTGTCACCGCACAAAGATATTCCAATACTATTGACTATATTTCCTATGCTGTATATTATATCCCTGTGATTTATTTTATAACTGGAAGTCTGCACCTCGTAATCCCCTTAATCTTTTTGGCCATTTCTCCATCCCTTTCCCTTCTGGTAACCATCAGTCTGATCTCTATCTATGAGTCTATTTATATTTTGCTCATTAGTTTTCTTAGATACCACATGTAAGAAAAATCGTATATATTTGTCTTTCTCTGTTTGACTTATTTCACTTAGCATAACATCTTTTAGGTCATTCCTGTTGTCAGAAATAGCAAGATTTTATTCCTTTTAGGGTTAAGTAATAGCCCACTGAATATATGTACCACATCTTTATCCATTCACCTATCAATGCACACCAAGGTTGTTTTCAAATCTTGGCTACTGTAAATAATGCTGCAATAAACAAAGAGTACATATTTCTTTTGGCATTACTATTTTCACTTTTTAAATAAATACTGAGTGTAAAGGTCCTTTGGGTATGCAACTTGCTGATAAAAGCCAAGGACATAAGCTGGAGCTAAATTCCTCCACTTAGCAAGAGGTGATCCCAAATGATATCTAGAGAGGAGAGGGAGAATAATTTCCTAATGGGGTACCTTCATTATTTGCTATTATGTGCAATGTACCTCCTTCTATAGTTCCTCTAGAGAATCTTCAAGAACGTTTACATACTTTTCTTTTGAGGAAATCCAAAAGAGTGCTGAGGACTGTAGCAACTGGTCACAGAGGACCAGAGACTGTGTCAGTGACCATCTAGGGGTACTATTCTCTCACTCAAGGGAACAGCTGCCACTGAATCCCATCCAAAAACTGCATAAGGAGTTCCTGACCCAAGCAGACATCCCTACTCCATTGCAGTGGGCTCCATGAACCAAAGCTCCACTAACTCCACAAATTCTGTTTCAGGGGCACCTGAGGGAATAGGGTTGCCTGCAGGAAGGGCATGGTCTTACAGCTAGTGCACTGTGCAAGGAGCAGGGAGTCTAAGCTTCAAAGCCAGATCTGCCCCTGCCTGTTGGTATCATGGAGAGGAGGTGTATGGAGTTTGAAGAATGAAGATTCCTGAAAATAGGAGATGCGTGCAGGTGGAAGATTATTCAGCTTTATTATCCAGGAAACTGTCCATAGATCCATCTGAGCAGATGTATCATTAACAAGCACAGAGAGTGCCCTTGGCCTTGGGCTTCTGAACCTGGTCTAAAGCTGGTGTGTCATAAAGAAAGGAGCGTCGTGGTTGATACCAAGCCCCTAACAAGGAAGTGATGCAAAATCAAACAGTGCTTTCTGGCTGACCAAAATCTCAGCCTTCGACAATAAGAGTAACGGCTGCTTTATGCTTCAACTTCAGCACCTTCAAAACAGGGATGCCATTTATGTGAGTATATTTACTTTATTTTGAAGTCTAAAGATAAATCTGAAAGAATGCCCAAAGACCCTAAGATTCTGATACAATGGATGCCTTTCAAATCCAGGATCATTGCTAATAAGTACTTCTCCCTTCCCGTAACACCTCTGTGAAGCAGGTGAAGAATAAGAGGAATTATTCTACTTTGAAACTGTGGAAAATTATGAAAATGACAGCCTAGACAATTTTCCTTCAAATTATCCAAATATTGAGAGGCAATGCACAGAAAGCACTCTCTATCAGTCACCAATGGAGAATGAAATAATATAAAGATCTGGATGGAGACAGACATGGATCCTAACTCAGCCTAATCATTAATAAGTTATGTGGCTTTGGCTAAATTAGGCAACTTCTCCAGGCCTCATTCCCCCCCACCCCCCCATCTGTAAAATGGACTCACGATACCTAAGATACCTAACCCACAGATGAACTAAAAAGATGTGAAGCAACCAGCAGTGTTTGGGTACTCAATACATGGCAGCTCTTGGCTCCTAAAGAAAGCTCTTCTATGATGCACTAGAAAAAGGCAAGAGTATCCATGGGCAACAATTGCAAGAAGGGGAGTTTAACCCATTTTATGATTTATTTTGAGAGAAATTTATTCTAGGATTAGATGTAAAACTCCCCAAATTCTGAAATGAAGGAAAAATATTAACACATTCTTATTGAAGAAAATAAAATGAAGTGGAAATTCAAGGCATGGCCACAAGGTAATGACTGCTTTTCTCCTGTTCTTGTGATTCAATTTCTTTTCTTCTTCATCATTTCTCAGACGTGCAGCAATTACTTTGTGAAGGTAAACACACTGCCCAATAAAAAGTGATAGAAAAGATTTGTTGCTTTGTGTGAATACGGGGAAAATAAATGTGTGTGTTTTTTCTTAACTTTTTTCAGTGAAAGACAAAGTTCTCAAAGAGATGGGAGGGGTGCCTAAAAAAAGGATAAAATACGATTCTTCAAATCCCAACGCTATTTCTTCACTTGTTATTTATGTTTAAAAATAATACACAATGGAATATTTGAATCTAAATGGGCCACACCACATGCAACACTTCATTTATCTCAGCTACGCTAAAACACAGCGGAGAGATGATCTATCAAGTTACTAACAAGCAGACGTTCAGATGCCAACACACAAATCCTTCTGAACATTTGTATTACATCATCACATTGAGAGTATTTCTAAAAGATGTATTAGTGCACAGTTTATCTAATAGACTGGAATGGCTCTCGTTTCTGTTCTCCCGAATAAAGAGAAATTTATTTGGCTGCAGATGTGATTGCTTTAACTCCCTAAGTGCAAGTTCTTTGGACATTTCCTCCTCATGCTTCCTGGCAGGCCTCTCCACCATCATCAGATGCTCCAGGCTGACCCAAGCCTTAGCAACTGCCCCAATGTAGAGGGTACCCATGACTCAGCCAGAATTGAAAAGAAGTTAAAACACACACAAATATAACAGCAAATTTTGGGAGCAGGCAAGGATTTAGAAGGCAAAAGGACTAAGGACTAAGGCAAAACTGAAAGATGGCCTCAACTTCAAAAAAGTGATCAGAGACATTTAGAAGGTACATTAAAATGAGTAAGGAAACCAGTACGGCTTAGAAGACTTGGATCTCACATGGGCTTTTGGTACCTGGATGTACTTACTAGCAGCTGTGTGGCCTTTGGCAAGTCACTCATACTTTCCTAACTCATTAAATGCAAGTAAAACCCCATTTTGCTTCATTTTTCTCATTTGTGGAAATGTCTGGCAAAGAGCCTGAAAGGATGAGGAAGATGTTTGATAGATGCTCGTGTCCTCTCTTGCAAAGGTGCTGCCAACTCAGATGCCTATAGGGATCAGTCAGGAAGGAAACTCTAAGAGGCCCCAGGTCTGTAAGATAACAGGGAGCACAGCAGGCGCCTGCATATTATTTGAGCTCATTCAATCCTGTCATGCTATGGAGGATATATGAAGCTCACGAGAGGGGCTAAACATAGCCAGAAAGTAAGCTGGAAGCTTATGCAATACAGACAAATCTCACAAAATATGTGAGAACAGATATCCAGTAAGCAAGCAGCTTGTGAGACTCAACAGAATTCGTAAAATGTGCTAAACATAGCCCTATAACCTATAGATATGCTAAACATAGAAGAAATAAATATGCCTACATTATGTTAACTTGGAATTGATGACCCTTGGTGACAACCAGCCTGGTCCCATGCTGGTCCCACTGTGCGCACCCAGCCCTATTTCAGCAGCTAGGCCTTTGTTGGAGCTCGGCCATTTCTGATCATTTTGTTAAGGGAGAGGCGGCTTATTCATGCTATGCTTGCTTCTAGGCCCTGACACTTCTGTGACTGGGTAATACCCAGAGAATGTGAGGTGACACCCAGAGAGTGTTAGCACCCCTGTGAACACATCAGGCAGCCCTGCTCGCATGGGAGCTAGGAATTCTCCAGGCAAATGCTCCTAGACCATTCCTGTTGCTAATGATGGCAGCAGCGGGATCAGCATAAAGAGGAAGCAGAACACTGACATGCTTTCAGAACTTGACTTTGTTAAGTTCAAAGAAAGAAAAATTCTTTGGATTTGGACTTTACAAATTTTGAAGGGAAAGCCTAAATTCTAAAAGGCCTCATGTGCTTTTTGAACTTGGTTTCTCTAATTTGCCTTTACAGTAGCATCTTCATAATTTTGGCCAGATTTGCATATGGCCTGGAGTATTAATTGCTTGAAGTTTTTATTTAAACCAACTTAGTTTTTCTTTTTTAGATATAATTGACAATATAATGTATTATTTCAGGTATACAACATAGTGATAAAATATGTACATATATATTGCGAATGATCACCAAATATAGTAGTTCACATGTGTTATCATAGTTATAAAAATTTTTCACTCTCTTAGCAACTCTCAAATATGGAATTCAGTGTTGTTAACTATAGTCACCATGCTATACATTACATTCCTTAGGAGGTATTCATTTTATAACTGCAGCCTTTGGACTCCACCCATTTCTATTCTCCAGCCCCCCAGTCCTCTGGTAGTAGTCAGTCACTGGTCTGTTCTCTGCATCTATGAGATTGGACTTTTGTTTGTTTTTCAGATTCCACCTATAAATTAGATCATACTAAATCAACCCAGTTTTAAAATAAATTAAGTACCCATGTCTTAAATCTTATGTATGAAATTGGTTTAATAGTTATATTTTATTAAAACATTTATCTATTAAAATAAAATAAATCTAGGCCCATTAAAATTATCACCAGGGCTGTGAGTTCTATTTTAGAGAATTCAAAAATCTGAGCTGGTAAAAGCCAGTCTTTGTCCTCTACTTAAAAATAGGGATATAATATAAACACAACTTCAGAAATTATATCTATATATGTATAGACCAGTACATGAATGCACAATAAAAATTCTACACACACAACAAACACATATACACACACAATTTCAAATGGCTAAAAAGGAACTGAGCAACAATGAGGTGTTAAATCAGGGCAGGGGGATTACTGGATCAAGGACACTGTATAGCAGCAGTTATTTGCACTGTTTCTCCAGGGAGACTGGAAGAACATGCGTGCCTAAAGGGAGAAATCACCTAAGGCCCAGGGGTTCTGGAGATTCATCACAGCAGGGAAGTGAGGAGGGCCAGTTTCAGGCTCCCTCCTCAGCCTTCCCAGCAGCAGCTCCACCCAGGGCTTAATTAAGAAGAAATTTGGAAATCAAAGGTACTATCCAATGTCCTCACTTTACTCATGAGGAAACAGGCTCAGGGAAGAGAAAACACTTAGGGTCACTCAGTAAACTTCAGGAGAATCAGAGCCTAAAAGTCAGCATCCAGATTCCCAGCCTGGCGTTTACCTGACCAAGACTCCCTCTGAGGATACCTTTGTGCAGCCATATACTAGTGACTTTGGTGAATATCATTACATCAGTACCCTCCTCTACCCTTGAAAATGAAGAAGCGTGATTATTCATTAATTCCTTGAGGAGGGGATGGTGGCCAACAATATTTAATGAAGTGCCTGTTATGAGTCAATAGAAATAAATTAGGAATAAGATGAAGTCATTATTTTGGAAAGTATGATGTAAGGAAACAGACACATCTCTTCCTGAAAAGTTGTACAAATTGAATAATGCCTAAAACAGATTAGGAAACATTCTGTTAGTAATAATAGAAACAACAATAAAAATAGCAAGAGAAATAATAGCAATAGCTATAACCATTTATCTCATACCAGACACTATACTCAGTACTTTATATGCACTGATATCCCCTGACATAAATAGTATTACTCTCATTTTGATTGATAAGAACATTGAGCCCAAGCCCCTGGGTAGAGTGACCACCTGTCTGATTTCCTGGCACACCAGGTCTCCCAGGACATGGACCTTTTGATGCAGAATACAGGAAAATCCTGGGTTCCCTGGGATGGCTGGTCACCCTGCCTGTGGATCTGGGGAGTGATAGGAACTTCCATGTCTGCCTGACTCCCCAACCACCACCACCTTCTACGGAATAACTTCTCTCCATGTGCTACACAGTTAAGACTTTCACATACTGGCTTAAAAAAGGACATGGCTAGTAGCTTATAAAACAAGATAGGCACATGTATCTTCTTCTCCTTTAAAAAAAAAAAAAAAGTCAGAGGAAAGCACTGCCTGGCTGCAAGCCTCCATTCCTCAAGAAAAGCAAAGAAGGGACACTTACCTTGACCTCAAACTCGAAGTGCTCATCCTTGCCTTGACCGCAGAGAACATAGCGAGGGATGCTGATTTTAATTGGGTCCTTCAGGTCATCTGGAGTTGCTCCCAAAGAGCGAGAAACCATCCGCTATCAAAGGCACATCAAATGGGGAGAACAAAGAGAAGCAAGATCACTCAATTGCAAATACCCTGCTTGGGCAGACAGGAGAAAATGTGTTTCAAGCAGAGAAAAGAGCATCAAACCAGGGGAGTTTATTTAGAAAAATGATGATTGCCTTTGAAAGAAAAATGCTAAGTCTCCCTCACAACAAAAGACCGGTTCTTTAGGTATATTATTCCCAAGAGTTAGGGCAAAAGCACTTCAAAATGTTGTTTGGCTTTGAAGTTCCTTACAATTTATAAGAACAAATGAAGAAAGAGACAGATTACATATCCAAACTTCTAAAAAAAAAAAAATTGGTCTAAAACAGATTCCTCTCTGAAAAAGTGTTGATTATCTGACTTCTTTTTTCTTCACAGACTCAGGCTGCTATACATAATGCTCCAAAAGCTGGAGATTTTATTCAAAATTACTTCATTTTTAACTTCCAGGCATTTTTATAAGCCAGTGTAGCGTGGAAAGCTCTTTCAGCCACAATTAAAACAAATCCCAAGTATTTTCTTTAGGCTCCATTTGATTAATAATCTTCTTGGCCCTGACAATTATTTATGGTCTGGATGGTGGGAAGCCAGAGAGGTTTGAGGAATAGGCATTATGAAAAAAAAAAAATAAATAAATCTTCAAAATGAGTTCTCTTGAGTGTGAATGGAAGTCTCTAACAATCCTTATCATTTGCACTAACCTGGGGCTTTGGAAAATATATGAAAATAGGTTTTTAAACAATAGCAATAATAAAATAAGTATGATCATAATTAGAGTTGCATTTGTTGGATACCCACCATATAACAAGAACTTCAGTTCAAGGTTTATATGCATTGTTAATGGTTTATATGCATTATATACCCTATTTATCAGATGGGATCCCAAGACTGAGAGTTTAGGAAACTTATAGGGGTAAGAGGTAGAGCCAGCATTTGAAGTTGGGCTAACCTAGCTAAACTATGTCACAGCTATGCCATACTGCTATAGTGAAATTTTAAAATAATTTCATCCATCTCATACATTGAGCTCCTGAACACTTCAGTATATTCAGAATTGAAGATGAAAACTCCACAGTTATTCAGTGTAACCTACTATGACTAAGAAAAGAACAGGGGTCAATATACTCACTTCCTCTCAGAGAAAGTGGTCCAGGCTCCTTGGATCCTCAACCAGGTGTAACATGGAAGGTCCAACCTAACTGTGTGTATGTGTGTGTGTGTGTGTGTGAATCAAATCCCAGCGGGAGGATGTGATCTCTCAAGGAGAATGTGCTCTGGTTTCTGGGTGACACAGAGGCATACACTTGGTCGCAGATCACTGCTGTCACCTAGCAGACAGTGTAAAGGTTTGTGCATCATATGACATTCTGAGTCTTCTAGAGCACCTTGATTTCTCTGTGTGGCTGGCCACCCAAAACATAGACCACTCAATTTATCATAATGGTGCACTTGATGTCAAAAACTGTAGTGGAGATTCTTAAAAAGTGAGTTTCTCAACATGTACATGGCCAAAAACCTTTCAATTCGCTGATAGCACAGTTCCAAATTCAAGTGGAGTCATTTCCTGAAGCATGAAACATGTTTTTCAATTTAAAAGTGAAAAGGCAGAAAAATAATTTGGTGATTTTATTTCTTTTCAAAGAATACATTTACTGTTAAGAAATGTTTTTGACCTATAAATGATGGCTTACCCATGAAGTTCTTGCTCTGCTGCCTACACCCTAAAACCTTTTATGTCATGCTTAAGACTGTATTTTTTTAATAGGAACATAATCTCTCCTCAAAATCTGACACAATTACTTGGCAATTCCACTTGTATGCATGTGTGTGTTTATGTGTGTGCTTGCATGTTGGGCATTAGATTAGGGATAGGGAGCACATTGTAATTTAAAACAGCTTCAGGAAAAGGGAATGGTACCAAAGGAATTTTAAGTAACAGCTAGCAACTGATATTACCAACTGATAAAGACCCACTGGCTATACTTTAGCAGGAACCTGGATGCTCCGCAAGGTCTAGACCTAAGGGACAACACCACAGCTGATTTGATGAGGAGCCAACTCTGCACAGTTACAGGTTCTTTTCTGATGAGGTAAGAATGAGGAAAAGGAAGAAGGGAGGCAGGCAATTCAGTATTTTTTCTTTGATCTTTTTTCTTCGATGAACTAGGAACAGTGTATGTATTACAATGTGTTTTATCAGTGCTCAAAAAAGTGTGAATGACCATACCAACAAGGGTGATACACTTGGTATCAAAAGTCTACAGTTACCTGCTTCTCTGGAGCAATCAGTTGACTTAAAAAACTCAGAGCAAGAAAGAGGACACTCAGAATCAAATCCTTGTGGGAGGACTTGATCTCTGAGCAACACCCTCCCATAGCCTCTGCCCCTCAATTTCTCTGTGAGTGTGGAAAGCGGTATATTTATCAAGTCCCAATGGCATGGCAGGGATTTAACCATGAACAAGGCAGTGTCTGGCCCTGTGGACTTCTGCTGAGACAAACTCTGACAAGTAAACTGATCATTACAGCAGGATTTTAAGTGATGGGGGCACTGAGAGAGAAAAACTGTGAATATGTACGTTGCTATGTACATACCATGAATTTTACTGAGGAAGAACTGCACTCAAAATGGCCCAGATATACTGTTACTTAACTTTAACTTTCTAAATGCCTTTTCTTATAAGCACCCCTTGGATACACAATCAATATTGATATCTTTTATTAAGCACCAACTACGTGCCATGTAAAGAGCCAGATCATGAAAGTACAAAGTAACTTTTACAAAGTATCTGGAATTTCTAAGACTTTTAATTTTTTTCAATTACATAATGTTTTGAACAAAGGTTTGTGTGTTTTTTCACTGACTTTAGATTAATTACATTCTAAAGTAAATGCTGCACTAACTGGTTTGGCTCAGTGGATAGAGCGTTGGCCTGTGGACTGAAAGGTTCCAGGTTCAATTCCGATCAAGGGCATGTACCTTCGTTGTGGGCACATCCCCCCATAGGAGGTGTGCAAGAGGCAGCTGATCAATATTTCTTTCTCATAGATGTTTCTAACTATCTTTCTCCCTTCCTCTCTGTAAAAAATCAATAAAATATATATTTAAAAAATAAAGTTAGGCCGGGACCGATTTGGCTCAGTAGATAGAGCGTCGGCCTGCGGACTGAAAGGTCCCGGGTTCGATTCTGGGCAAGGGCATGTACCTTGGTTGCCGGCACATCCCCAGTGGGGGGTGTGCAAGAGGCAGCTGATCAATGATTCTCTCTCATCGATGTTTCTAATTCTATATCCCTCTCTCTTCCTCTCCGTGAAAAATCAATAAAATAAATAAATAAATAAATAAATAAATAAATAAATAAAAATAAAGTTAGTAAATGCTACCTTAACTTTCTCTTTTTGTAAATTCACTTTCAAAGTGGGATAAGACTGGAAGTGATGGTCTATATAGACCTTTTAAGACTAAAAAGTTTTTTAATTCCAAGAATATGTAACTGCAAAATCAAACCCTAATGAAAAGAAAGTTGTTTGAAGCTCAGGCTGTGTAGTTGTGGCCAAACAGATAAGGTAATAGACTAGAAAAAAACAAAAAACCCTGCCTTCACTAACTGGGTATATGAGTTAAGCATGGATCAGTGAACTGGGAGGAATTGGATCTTATCTTATTCATGCTGTTCACCTAAACCTAGGATGGCCCCTTACACATCAGCACCTGCACAGGTAGCTCAAGCCATGGGTCTAGATGAGCCACAAGAGACAAGAGACACCACCCCTATCAGAATCAGACAGGAAAGTGTACCAAAGCCCTCTGCTGAGAAGAAGGACATTTCTCTTCAGAATCTTACATGTTGGAGTCTCTAAAAACAGACCATCTGCTCTCACCCACTGGCTTCAATCTCAATGATTTCAAAGTAATTAAATATTAAATGTAGAGAAAAGAAAAACTGCAGACATGAATAACTGGAGAATAAAGATCTGAAGGCATCAGAGCAAAAATATAAGCAAACAGAAGAAAAATCAAATGTGAAAAAAAAAAAGAAAAATCAAATGTGTGTGTGTGTCTACATACATCTAATCTCTGTTCCAATGTAAGTTTTAGAAATTACTTTTTGGAGTCAATTGCATGAGGAATGTAGAAGTCTCAGGATGTAGTGTGAAAGGTTCCTACCGTTTTCCAAAATGCAGGAAGGAGAACTCACATAACTGTCTCCTAAATTTGTATTTTATTTGAAAACAGCTGTAACTTGATGATCTTGAGTTTTATATAAGACAAGTACGCTGTATCATATTTTACCCCATTATTTAAGGGAGCTTTTAAACTTCTGTGTAATTATTTTTTTTTGGAATCAGTCATAGTTTCTCTACATGTAGCGAAGAAGATTCTTGGACTTGGAAGGGGAGGTGGAGGCAAAGGGCCGTGAAAGGCAGTGTTCAGAAGTACAACTCCTAGCAGATCTGGCAGGGGTAACTTCTTAGGACATTTCAAGGGGTTTTAAATGAACTGTGGAGCCATTTAGAAGAGAAAGGTCAAGGAAAAGCACATAATTAGTAACCAGGGTTACGTTTCTATACATTAAAAATATTATCTTTTAAGGTATAAGAAATATTTTTCAGAAGCTTTCAAGGAAATAATGTTCTGTGTCAACACATGTTTTTTTTTTTCCAGTTGTTGGAAAAAATATTTTCTTCCTGCTCAGGCTGTCTCCTTCAAAAGGGGAATATCAAGGAAGCTAATAGCAAGTGGCTTTAATATCCACTCAGATCACTGTCAGCAGTGCAGAGGGCATGGAAAGGGCCAATTCTCGAGGGATTCATCAACATTTCTCCCTAAGCCCTCTAATGATGTACCAGATGGCCAAATTCAATATATGCTTTGACTATGTCAAGGTCAGACTGATGTCTGATATCTTAGAGCCAAATAGCCAACCTTTACTTATAAAACACAGGGTGTTTTTTTTTTTTCTTTTTTCAGATTTAACAAAACTA